GGAACCCTCTTGCACTGTTGGTGGGAATGTGAACTGGTGCAGCCACTCTGGAAAACTGTGTGGAGGTTCCTCAAAGAGTTAAAAATAGAGATACCCTATGACCCAGCAATTGCACTACTGAGGATTTACCCCAAAGATACAGATGCAGTGAAACGGCAGGACACCTGCACCCGAACGTTCATAGCAGCAATGTCCACAACAGCCAAACTGTGGAAGGATCCTCAATGTCCTTTCGACAGATGAATGGATAAAGAAGATGTGGTCTATGTATACAATGGAATATTCCTCAGGTATTAGAAACGACAAATACCCGCCATTTGCTTCAACGTGGATGGAACTGGAGGGTATTATGCTGAGTGAAGTAAATCAATCAGAGAAGGACAATCATCATATGGTTTTACTCATATGGGGAATATAGGAAATAGTGGATTATAGGGGAAAGGAGGGGAACTGAGTGGGAAGAATTAGGGAGACAAACCATGAGAGACTCCTAACTCTGGGAAATGAACAAGGGGTAGTGGAAGGGAAGGCAGGCGGGGGGATAGGGTGATTAGGTGACAGGCATTGAGGGGGGCACTTGATGGGATGAGCACTGGATGTTATACTATATGTTGGCAAATCGAACTCATTAAAAATATATATATATATATGTATATATATATATATATATATATATTAAAAAAAGAGAGAGAGAGAGAGAAGCCAGCTCTTTACCTTTAGCCCCATAGAAACTTGGAAGAGCTCAGTGATTGGAAGTAGCAGGTACACCGTGGGAGATAGGCTGCAAGTAGAGGGATGCGAGGGTCTGTGTAAGCACCAGACCCCCACTACAGAGCCAGGAACTTCCCTGGCCTTTACTCAGGAGAGTGGAGGTTTGTGCTTGGAGATACTCACGGGGGCAGCCAGAGGACAGAGCACTGGACTATATGAAATCTGTGTACTGACCAAGTACCCCAAACCCCTCCCCCACCCAGCTCCCAGAATTCCTAGTGTCAGGCATCTACCTGCAGGGGGCAGAGACAGGAACTTCTGGGATAAATGATTGCCAGATGCTGACATTTCAGGTCTTCCCAATAAAAGTGGAGCCTGCTGCCAGAATGGGACATCTGTCATGGTATTTACCTAACCAGCATTTTGTGGACATCTTCCTCTAGGAAGGACAGAGGACAGAGAACTTCCTCACACATCTCTACTATGGGAACCAGAAACTCACTTTCCCAGCTTCCTTTGCAGTGAGGGCCCAGACATGTGGGCCCTCAACTATCAATTGAGTTTCACTACACAAAACAGAGTTAGAGGTGAGTGATGAGAAGCAGGCCACTCCAGGAAGCCATTCTGGGGCTTGCCCCCCAGCACCACATGTTCCCACGGTGCCTGGACTTGGCAGCAATCAAGCACCATACCTGGAGTGCCATTCTTGGCCCAAATGTCTCTAACCAGGCTTCCCTGACCCTCTTTCCAATCCTGGGAGTTCTCCCGTGTCCTTTCCAGAGTTCCTTTTCCACACGAACCACTCTAGGTCTCTGGCATGTTGCAAAGAACCCTGCCAGCCAGGCCATCCCCGGTAGAAAGCTGGCCTTACTTACCCTGATCATAAGAGCTCTCCCACAGATGCAAATGGTTCTTAAATCCAGACCTGTCCAGGAAGAGGGGGCTTTATACAAATACTTCCAACCTGACAGAGAGCAAAACAAACAGCAGAAGGGAACTTCTGGCACAACGCAAAAGAGAGTAAAACATATTAGAATATTTTCAGCAATGAGAAGGTAATGTTCATCAGTGAATGAGATGCCATTAAAAAAAGAACCAAGAGGGCAGCCCAAGTGGCTCAGCAGTTTAGCACTGCCTTCCGCCCAGGGTGTGATCCTGGGGACCCAGGATCGGGTCGCACATTGGGCTCCCTGCATGGAGCCTGCTTCTCTCTCTGCCTGTGTCTCTGCTCCCCCACCCTCTGTCTCTCATGAATAAATAAATAAAATCTTAAAAAAAAAAAAAAAGAATGAAGAGGGGCGCATCAAACTCCAAGCTGGGCATGGAATCTGCTTGAGATTCTCTCTCTCCTCCCTCTGCCCCTCTGCCAACCCCTCATCCCTAACTTGAGCATTCTCTATCCAAAAAAAAAAAAGAACTGAAAACAAGAAAGAGCTCTTGAAAGTTAAAGATGTAGCCAATATAAAAAATTCAATTAAAAAGTTGGATTATATGGATCCCCGGGTGGCTCAGCGGTTTAGCGCCTGCCTTTGGCCCAGGGCATGATCCCGGAGTCCCAGGATCAAGTCCCACATCAGGATCCCTGCATGGAGCCTGCTTCTCCCTCTGCCTGTGTCTCTGCCTCTCTCTCTCTCTCTCTCATGAATAAATAAATAAAATATTGGAAAAAAAGTTGGATTATAGAAGACCTGTATTTTCTGGTTTTATTATCTGCTTCCCTGGGTAAAAGGTAAAACAGCCTAAGTCACTGTTTGTATAGTGCCCAACAACACAGAACAATGCCTGGCACAGGGTAGGGGCTCAGGACATATTTGTTGACTATATAGATGAATGGTCCTCTCCAAAAAAAGTAGAGCAAAACAGAGATGAAGAGTAGTTAAGAAAATTACAAAATGATGAAAAACAGGTCTGGAATGTCCATTAGGATTTTCAGACAAAGAGAATAACAACAACTAAAAAGACAGGGAAGAGGGGTATCTGTGTGTCTCAGTCAGTTAAGTGCCTGCCTTCGGTTCAGGTCATGATCCCAAGGTCCTGGGATCAAGTCCCATACCAGGCTCCCTGCTCAGTGGGGAGCCTGCATCTCCCTCTCCCTCTGCTTGCCACTCCACCTACCTGTGCTGTCAAACAAATATATAAAATCTTAAAAAAAAAAAAAAGGTGGGGGGAGAAATTGCTAAAAATAAGAAAATCCTCCAGAACTGAATAAGAGTCTATAGAAATTCAGAGTCCACTAAGTGATCAGCCAAATGAAAAAGAGCCACACGGGGGCACCTGGGTGGATTAGTCGATTAAATGTCTGACTCTTGGTTTTGGCTGAGGTCATGATCTCCTGGGTCATGGGACTGAGCCCTGCCCTGGGCTCAGTGTCCTGAGTCTGCTTGGATATTCTCTCCCTCTGCCTTTCCCTGCTTGTACTCTCTCTCTGTAAAATGAGTAAATAAATCTTTAAAAAATATATAAAGAGCTACACAAGATGCATCATTGAGATTTCAGAATAGTAAAGTAAGGGTCCCAAGGCTCCAGGAAGGAAAAAATAGGTCACAAAGGATTGGGACTCTTACCTACAATATTGGGATGGCTAGAATACAGTGAATCAATGCTTTCAAAATTTGGAGGAAAAAATGTTATCCAATTTGGAATTCTATACCCAAGCCAATTAGTAATCAAGCATGAGAATAGAATAAAAACATTTTCAGGTATAAAAAATGTCTCCACAAAATTATATACATCTTCACAAAATGAAGAGCATGCTGTGGGTGAAGGCAGTGATTCCAGCTGTGGGGTTTGATGAAGCTAGGGGACAAGTGGTAATGCTGGGTGGATACAGATCTCCGGTTCAGGGGAGTTTGGTCTAGGCTGATATGAGAGGCACATGAGGCTAGATCCAGCTAACACACCCAGACAATCCCAGGAAAATCTAAGCCAATGTCCCCTCAGGGGGGTTGGCGGAGGCACAAGATTATGGATTCTGGGTAAACCGACTGCCAGGTGAAGGTGGAAGCTCATTTATCCCAGGTGTCACCTATTACTAGCTCTCACCTGCCAAACACCCCAAGTCCTCGTTCTTGTGTTTCTGAGTTGGGAATGTTTCCCATGAGGTTTATGCTGCAGTTCCCACCTCTCCATGCTTTGGATTCTCTCCCTTCCGTCACCTTCCTTGTTTCTTGCTATGTTTGCTGCCGATCATGGTGGTCCACCGGGGCACTCACCCTATAGGTAGTGACCCATTCTTGACCTCTGATATTCCTGGGAAGGGGCTCTCTGCTGCTGGCATCTGAAGCTGTCACTTCCTGGAATCTTTTGCCATTTAGGTTGACTGCACCAAAACACTCCTCAGGCCCCCCACATGGTAGAACCAACACCAAGAAGGAATCAAGGCAAAGGTTTAAAAGTAACAGTTCTGTAGCAGGAAGCTAGAAATGCTGGATTCCTGTCCTACCAGGCATCCCTATTCCTCACAGGGTCCCAAATAGCTAGGAAGCAGCATTACCCAAATGAGAAATGAATGCCACCTTTAAAATTTTTTAAAACAGAGAGACTGGGGCGTGGTGTGTTGGGGGGGAGCAATAGAAGGAGAGAGAGAACCCCAAGCAGGCTCCACGACAAAAGCCTTGCTCTACTACTGCAGAAAGTGGGGTTGGAGGGGAGAGAGGCTGGCATGTAATGAGAGCCAACAAGGCAGACAAGAGCCCGCGCAGGCCGAGCGAGTGGCCGCCTGCCTTCCCATTCTGGTGCCAGGCTCTCTTAGGACCTCAACACACTCAGCTGTAATTCTGAGCTGTCCATATACATCTCTGATAAACACCCCTTTCTGATTTAAGCTCACTTACATTGGTTTGTTACTTGTAACCGTAAGAGCCAGTGGAGATCAGTGCAGCAATCTAGGGCACGACCCACGTAGTCTTGACTTTGTATCCCCTGTACCCTGTATCTAGAATACTGGTAGCCACAGTTGGGGTTGATTCCAACCCTCCTGAAGGAATGAGGAGTACCTATATGGATCCTAATAAAAAGGTCAAGTCTATTTATTTTTTAGTCTATTTATTCGTGAGAGACACAGACAAGCAAAGGCACAGGTAGAGAGAGATGCAGTCTCCCTGAGGGGAACCTGATCTGGGACTCAATCCCAGGACCCCAGGATCATGCCCTAAGCCAAAGGCAGTTGCTCAACCACTGAGCCACCCAGGCGTCTCAGGCCAAGTCTGTTTAATTCAGGAGTTATAAAATCTAATTTATAACATACTTACCAAATACCCAATCGTACCAAAGGGCTGCTATAAATCCCAGACTGAAGGTGGGAGATTTGCTGAATGCAGCCTTCAAGGGGCCACTAAAGCCCTATCTGCCAACAACATGAAAGAAATATAAAGTTACATGAAACAGTTTCAGAAAACTGAGCTTATGGAAGCTCCACGTGAAATTTCACTTCAACCTTTCACTCTTGTGAGAGACACCTCTTAAATATGCAAGTTTGCTTTTCCTCAAGGAAAGATTTATTGCATACTACTAGTGATTTTGTTTTACAGCAAAATTAAATTATACAGATCCACTTTTCACAAACATAAACTGGAAATCAAAGCATCCATCAAATGTAGATGCTGAACAAAAGTACTGGTTTTAAGCATTCAGCAGTTTTTCCCTTTTTTTTTTTAAGATTTTATTTATTTATTCATGAGAGATATTTATTCATGAGAGATAGAGAGAGAGAGAGAAAGGGAGAGAGAGAGAGAGGCAGAGACACAGGCAGAGGGAGAAGCAGGCTCCATGCAGGGAGCCCGATGTTGGACTCGATCCCAGGTCTCCAGGATCACGCCCTGGGCTGAAGGCAGGCGCTAAACTGCTGAGCCACCCGGGCATCCTCAGCATTCAGCAGTTAATCATGATTCTGGTCCGGGGCCACCTGTCCATGATTTTAAGAAGTTGAGGATCCTGTCAGTGACTGGAACAAAATCTTCTTTATACGTCACAATTGTTTCCATGTAAAACCCTTTTGGGGGCTCAAGCATTTCATTTCTTGACACATCCTTTTGCTCTACTTCATCACCTTTAGAAAAAAATGGAAGACATGAATTATTAACTTTTTAAACTTAAGACAGCAGTCCTTAAAATTATTAGTCAAGTCTAAGAAATAAAATAAACTGAGATAAGAATTACTCTCCCACCCCCCGTCAAGTTCCTGACACCATTTTCTCTCCATAAAAAAGAAAAATAAAGAACTATGGCACGACCGCTACTACGGACACTGCAATGTTTCAAAGCTCACTACTGGACACATGGACTTTCAGGCCACTGGTAATCTTCATCACTCAATGTAATCTTCAGCATGGTTTTTACAGAACAGCTTTCCCAAGATGTACGTATCCTACAACCAACTCGTTTGAAATGTACCCCTGAATGGCTTTTAGTATATTCAGATCCGTGCAACCGCAGTTCCAGGATATTTTCTTTCTTTCTTTTTCTTTCTTTCTTCTCTTTCTTTCTTTCTCTTCTTCTTCTTCTTTTTTTTTTTTTAAGATTTTATATATTTATTCATGAGAGACACAGAGAGAGAGAGGCAGAGACACAGGCAGAGGGAGAAGCAGGCTCCCTGCAGGGAGCCCGACGCGGGACTGGATCCCACTGGATCCCAGGACCCCAGGATCACGACCTGAGACAAAGGCAGACGCCTGACCACTGAGCCACCAGATGCCCCAGTTCTAGGAAACCTTCATCCACACACAAAGTCCATACCCTCCAGCAAGTGCGGCCCCCGGCCCGGAACGCGCTCCCGGTCCGCGGATTTCCTCTCCGCCGGGTACCGGGCAGGACGAAGGCTCCCCGGCTGGCGGAGCGGCTCCAACCGTCTGCTCGCCAAGCGCAACGCGGACCAACGTGGCCGCCGCAGCACCTCCTTACATACATCTCCGTCCAGGGTCTCTGACATTCCCTCTGGAATCTTGCACAGATTCTTCAAATGCACGAACAGGCAGGAGGACTTAAAGGGAGACTCCAGGCAGACTCAGTTACAGCGAACTGCTCCCAACAGCAGTTCCCACTAGTGTTGCAGAATAAACCCGAGGCTTGCACCGCAGCGAGGCCGCTTCTGTGACCGCCCCTCGGGACAACCCCCCTCCCCCCCCCGCCGCGGAGGGCCGCGGAGGGCCGCGGAGGGCCGCCGGAGGGTCGTACCTGGGGACTTGCTCTTTTTCCGTCCTAAATAAATAAAGGAGCCCAACGTGGTCCAGGCTCCCACCGCGTAGAGCCCGGACATCCGCCGGTACCAAGAGGAGGCCTGGTCCGCGCGCATCACCCGGCTCGCGGAAGGACGCCACCCCACGAGGCCCAGGGCGGGGCGGGACTTCCGGTCGGCCCCCGGCCGCCGCCCCCAATGGAGAGCCGACTCCGGGAAGCCGCTTCCTGCTCCGGCCCGGGTGCATCCTGGGGCGTGTAGTCCCGAAAGTCGCGCCCGGGACTGGACCTCTTAAAAGGTGTGGGATTCGGGGGGTTTCCGTGCTGAGCCGGGTACCCACAGACTCGCATACCACGTGACGCAGGGACCAGATGACAATGTCTCTGAACAAACTCCTCGCGTAAAAAATTGTAACACCTGCCTTACGCAGGATTCAGATGGTTTTCGTAAAGATTAAGTCCACCCCTCCTGCGGCTCTCGGGCGAGAATGCCTGGCTCCCCCCGCAGCTCTTCCCCATTTTCCTTCTGGAACCCATTCCGGGTGAGCCGTGGGTCCCCCCTGGTCGGAGGTAATTTCTCCACCAGGGTCTGGGTCCAGTTCTTTATCGCCTCCTCGGGGGAGGGGAACATCATTACACTCAACTCTACCAACACCTCGAAAACAGAACATCTTCAACTCTGCGCACCTTCAACTTTTTTCTTAACCACACGTTTCTGAAGTCAAAGCATAATCTACCCCTACCCCAGCAGACCCAACAGCTTTAGGGCAAAAGCGACGTGCTTGGCACAGCGTGGAGATTCGGTAAATTGCCATATCCAGTAGCTACGGTTCAGCCATGATCAATTCGGTTTCTAAAGCATTTGACACCATTGACCCCACCTGCTCCTTTCATGGCTTCAAAAACATAATTTTCTTCGGTATCTCCGTATCCTTCGGGGCTCTTTCCACTTCTCCCACCCTTTAGAAATTGTGCCATACACAAGAAATTAACTCTAGATGGTTCATAGGCTTAAATGTAAAAGCTAAAACTACAAACCTAGAAGAAAACAGGAGAAAATTTGCCACCTTGGGATGGGTACGATTTTTTTAGAATACAGACAGCATGAACCATAAAACAAATACTGGTAAATTGGACTTTTTCAAAATTAAAACTTTTGCTTTTCAAAAGTCACAGTTAAGAGGAAAAAAGACACAAAATTAAATATTTGACCAAGGCCTTGTATCCAGAATATAAAAGGACAACTTACAACTCAATCATAAAAAGACAATCTTACCGGGACGCCTGGGTGGCTCAGCGGCTGAGCGTTTGCCTTCCAGCTCAGGGCGTGATCCTGGAGTCTCCGGATCAAGTACCGCATCTGGCTCCCTCATGGAGCCTACTTCTCTCTCTCTGCCTTTCTCTCTGTGTGTCTCTAATGAATAAATAAAATCTTTAGGGACGCCTGGGTGGCTCAGGGTTGAACGTCTGCCTTTGACTCAGGGCACGATCCTGGACTGCCGGGATCGGTCCGCATCCGGCTCCCTGAGGGGAGCCTGCTTCCCCCTCTGCCTGTATCTCAGCCTCTCTCTGTCTCATGAATAAATAAATAAAACCTTTAAAAAATAAATAAAATCTTTTTAAAAAAAGACCACCTTACTAAAAATCAGGCAACAAATATGAACAAACTCTTACCAAAGAAGTTATACAAATGGCCAACAAGCACAGGAACATCATTACTTATCACAGAAATGCAAATAAAACCACAAGACACCATTTACACACCTAATAGAATGTGTCTGGTATTATCAAGAATACCAAGAGTTTTAAGGATTTGAACAAATCAGACCTCCTACTGGTGGGAGCATAAAATGCCACCATGTCTTTCCAATACTGCCAGTTTCTTAAAAATTTGAACATACACCTACCATACTACTCAGATATTCCATTCCTAGTTATTTATCCAAACGAAATGAAAATGTATCCACAGACATGTAGATGAATGTTCACAGAGCTTTAATCATGAGAGCCAAAAAAGGAAACAACCCAAATACCATCATCTAGTGACTGGAAAAACAGAATGTGGTATACCACTCAGCAATAAAAAGGAATTACTGATACATGCAGCTACATGGTGAATCTCAAATGGATTATGCTACGTGAAAAAAAGCCAGATACAGGGCAGCCCGGGTGGCTCAGAGGTTTAGCGCCACCTTCAGCTCAGGGTGTGATCCTGGAGACCCAGAATCGAGTCCGTGCATGGGGATGTCGTGCTCCCTGCATGGGGCTTGTTTCTCCCTCTGCCTATGTCTCTGCCTCTCTGTGTGTGTCTCTCATGAATAAATAAGTAAAATCTTTAAAAAAAAATGCCAGATACAAATGAAACTAAAGTCTAGGAACAAACTTACCTATAGTGGGACAAAGCTGACCAGTAGTTGCCTACTAAGGAAACCTTTGGGGGTGATGTAAATGTTCTGTATGGTGGTAGTTTCATGGGTGTACACATCTGTCAAAACTCATTGAACTGTATAAACAGAGGCAATTCTTTGCATGTAAACTATACCTCAATAAAGTTGTTAAAAACAAAACAAAAACATTGGTATTGTTGTGACATTGCTTCTCTTCTCATCTTGAGCAACTTTATTTACTTTGTGAATGACTAAAATCTGCTCCAGACTCCCCTGAAAGCAAATCCATATTAATTACTGCCAACCTGCTGGGTATTCTCTTCTCTCACAACCTCCCTAAGCTCAAAATGTCCAGGACTGAATTTATCAATGCTAGGAAAGAAAAAGCAAAGAACTCTTCCCTTTTCTGCAATTCAGAGAATGATTGACCTATCACCCAAAACAGAAACTTGAACTCAGATTCTTGTCTAACATCCCACCTTTGTCTAAACACCGGCCTCTTTACAGGCCTCATCTGGATTCCAGCTTCCTCCTATCCACCCTGCCACTCTCCTAGTGTTTTTAAAATCCAGAACTGGTTGTTTCCCTGCCTAAGGCTTTCCTTGCCTTCAAGACGGATTTCAGAATCCTCATTAGGCACACGGGGCTCCGTGCTTCCTCCCCCAAGATGGCTGCTTTCCATACATGACTCCCCACCTCCATGTTCTCTCTGGAAACAGCTGCTAGCACCCAGAGATGGGACCTGCATGGCAATGTCTTCTATATTAAGTCACCCAGTGGTGCCACTCACCTCGGCACCAAAACCCATTGTCACTGAAGAGAACACCAGAGCAAGGTGGGTCTATCACATTCTACGTTCTGTTCGTTTGAAATTCAAAGGCCCAAGGTGTCCCAAGTTTCAACCTTTATCTGTATATGCAGTTTCTGTGCTCTTCTATATGATGTATCTCAATTAAAAATTATATTTGGGGCACCTGGGTGGCTCAGTTGGTTAAGTGTCCGACTCTTAATCTCAGCTTAGGTCTTGATCTCAGGGTCACGAGTTTGAGCCCTGTGTGAGGTTCCACACTGGGTATGGACCCACCTAAAATATAATAATAATCCAAAAAATAATATTCTGTGGAAAAAGTACACACAATAAAAGCTCTTGGCATTTAAAAATGCGTCAAACACCTTAAACTAGGAATCGCTCCCAGAATGCACACCAAAGGCAAAAGGTGGTAATAAAATTCAAAATATAGAGAAGAATCAATCCAGATGGTTCAACGTCCAATTGACAGGTGTTTCCAACTTTGCTTTTTCTACATAGAACTCAGTACCTTCTAATAAATTGTGTAACTTACATTTATTATTATTTTTTTTATTTATGATAGTCACACACACACACAGAGAAAAGAGAGAGAGGCAGAGACATAGGCAGAGGGAGAAGCAGGCTCCACGCACCGGGAGCCCGACGTGGGATTCGATCCCGGGTCTCCAGGATCGTGCCCTGGGCCAAAGGCAGGCGCTAAACCGCTGCGCCACCCAGGGATCCCAACTTACTTCTATTTTTAAAAAATTGTTGGGTCTTCCTTAACTAGAACATAACACTCCACCAGGGAAGAAATTTTTGTTTTATTGACTACATTCTTAGTGTCTGTAAAACATTCCTTATATACCAAGTACTGAAAAATTATTTGGTGAATGAATGAAAAAATAGCTCCAAAGTTCTGAGAGAAAATTATTTTGGACCTAGAATTTTTCACTGAGCAAAGCTGTCAAGTATGAAGATGGAACTGACTGATTGATAATTGATGGAATTATCTCCCATGTAATTTTTTTAGAAGCCATTTAAGATAGCAGATGACTTATGGGATAAAAGGAATTGTAGAACTAACCCAGGAGTCCTAACAAAAGAAATTTCTGGATGACTTTTCATAGCAATCGGCCTGTGATTAAAGGGGATGAATGGACTTCATTCAGTAGAATAAGAAATTCAAACTTCTGAATAAATACAAAACAAAATCTTGGGACTTCTGGGTGGCTCAGCGGGTTAAGTGTCTGCCTTCGACGCAGACCTGTGATTCTGTGATTCACAGACCTGTGATTCTGAAGTCCCAGGATAGAGTTCCGCATTGGGCTTCCTGCATGGAGCCTGCTTCTCCCTCTGCCTGTGTCTCTGCCTCTCTCTCTCTCTCTCTCTCTGTATCTCTCATGAAGAAATAAATAACATCTTTTTTTTTTAATCTTCTCTCAAAAAGATTAAGAAATTCTAGGGAAAACAACAAGATATACAAAGTTATGATGGGAAAAAGAAACAAACCAACCTGTGGAATGCTAGAATGTAAAAATATAAGTGACTGATTTTGTCATTGGGAATGTTTTCCTTCAAGTAGTATAGGGACTGAGACATCAAACCCCTGGGGAAATATGTAATACTACCTGACTTGAACACGGACAATGTTTACATTATCACAACAGTATAAATGATCTTTATTAGTTTTCAACTTTCAGAATGAACTCTGAAACAAAAGACCTAACTATGGTTAAAGGTCAGAATGTAAACTTTACCAACCTTGATAATATAAAAATAAGGGTATAGCCAAGCAAACCTGGCTGGTA